AGACTTTGGGCAAATGCAGAACAGAGAGGTAGCCTTAAACCCCTCTCCCCTCAAGTAAGTAGCTCCTCAACAGGAAAAGGGGCCACTTTTTAACAGGACCCCTGTCCTTGTTCCAAGCTATCCCTCTGTGTAGCCATAAAAATGCAAAAGAAAACATCAGTAAACTGGTTATTTTCCCAGCTCTCAAAATTATTCTGCTCCTTGATGTATGTAGCACAGCTCTGACATTATTCCTGTGACCTTTAAAACAGCAAGATTTTATCAGTATTGAAGGCAGCATAATTAACATGGGCAGCTTCAGCACCTCAAACTCACTTGTGCAGCCTTCCAGTGTCTGGATCTTAATTATAATCTCTGGGTGGTTAGTCCCAATCCCAGAAACCTTTCCATAATTTTTAAGGAAAGGTGATGAGAAAACCTGAGGACACGTTTTAGACTCAAACCCTCGCACACACAGCAAATGTTTCTTTGCCTTCATAGCCCAAATGCAAGGGTAAAAGGCAGACAGTGTTCTAAAAACGGGTACATACCCTTGGGCTGCGCCCACCTGATAGCAACTGTGCTTTCCTTGATAGGCATAAAACCTATGGCAGAACTTCTCTCAGCCTGGTCAACTAATACTCTTCTTTCCAAGTACTTATTAAAATGCAGATTCCCTGCCCCACCTCAACAAGCTGAATCAGAATCTCTAGCATTGAACCTGGAAATCTATAGTTTATCAATCTCCCCAGGTGTTTCTCATACACACTAAGTTTGAGAGTCATATCACATCAAAGACGCATCCTTTGCTCATCCAAAGCTTGCTCCAGGGAGGAATTTTTCAAATGAAAAGATGGGCTGTAAACACCCCTACCAGAAAACAGCAGGGAAAACTGAGGAGAGAAGGTCAGACAGAAGGCAAGGAGCGAGACAGAAGGAGGAAAGGGGAACAAGTCCTGGAAATGAAAACAGATATGTACAATCAAGTCTTATATTTTGGGGGCAATAACCCTAGGAATTTTGGGAGGTTTCCTCCTCTCTCTTTTCAGTTGTTGTTGTTATGTGCCATCAAGTCAGACCCGACTCATAGCGACCCCTCCTTGGATTTCCGAGGCAGTATCACTACAGAAGTAGATTGCTCCATCTTCCTTCCAAGGAGTGGCTGCTGGGTTTGAACCATCAGCCTTCTGGTTAGCAGTCAAATGCCTTAGGTACTATGCTACCAGAGCTCCTTACTTTTCAGTAGCATTAAAAAACAAAACAAAAAAAAAAAAAACCTCACTGCCATCAAGTTGATTCAACTCATAGCTACCCCTCCTTGGGTTTCTGAGGCAGTATCTCCATGGAAGTAGATTGCCCAATCTTCTTTCCGAGGACTGGCTAGCAGGTTTGAACCGCCAGCCTTCTGGTTAGCAACCAAATGCCTTAGGCACTACTACACCAGATAGCCTGCAATTATTTAAGGATAGTGTGCCTTTGGGCAATTTCCTGTGAAGCAGAGCTGACAGTGGTAGCAGTGTTTCAGTTGGTCTGACAGAGCTAACATCCCTACGCATCACACCTGAGCTAAAATGCCACTAGTAATTCCCAAGTTTCAAAAGTTCTGCTCCTAGACTGATAGGCTAGGGTGCCAAAATCAGCCAACGATCACAACTGATCTTATTGTACATGAGGCCAACTCAATGGCAGCTAACAACAACGATAACAGGTCCCAAGCCAAAAGGCAGATTTGTAGCAGACAGTAAGTGATAGCTCATTCAATTCAGAATCACTGTTTTACTCTGCAAACAAACAGCATCTTCTGCCTTCTCTCTTCCCCCACTCCCCTCACCTATCCACTTGCATCACAGGCACTAGTACTTCCTCTCTCTTCCTGTTTCTGTTTGCATGTACAGTACAGGGTGACAGCCTATTGGTAATAGCTTCATATTACAGACTCACAGAACTAGAAAATACTAGAGCTGGCAGTAGGCACCGACTGAATCCACAGTGTTACATGATCAGGCCATTTACTTTCATTAGCACTTGCCTGAGTGGTCTTTGTTGATCTAGCTTCGCTGTTGTTTTTGGCAAAGCAGCCCCAAACCTCACAAGGTATGCTGGATTCTAGTTTGTTATGCTGAGAACAAAATCACTGCTCTTTTTTTCTGGATACCTGGTTGTAGGCAGGGAGAGATGTGCTCTCCCAGGAGTGAATCTGAGCATTGGCCTAACAAAAACAGCTGAGGATTACCAACAGGTCCCAATTCTCCTTAACTGAGGACATTGGTACCTGATTTTGTGACAATCTAGAATAACATAGACGTGGTTTTGGGTTTGTTTGTTTTTAATCACTCCTTTCCACATGACGTCAGGAAAATTTGCTGCCTTAGGGCACCACAGATCTCTCGGTGACACTCGGCATACCTGGGTTGTTATTGAAAGTTAGCTCAGAAATTCTGCAGCAGCCACTGGCCAGGATTTCTAAGCAATTTCCGCAAAAGAGAATAAAATTCTCTTTTCCTTTTGCACTTGTTTGTTTTGCTTTGTTCTCTTGATCCACAGAAACAATATTAATTATTATTAATAATCAAGTAAAAATGGAAATGCACACATATCTCCCTACAAACTTGGATGAAGCCCCACAAACCTTCCTTTAAATTTTCAATCATTACTAATGTGTTCTTTTTCACAATGCTGAAGAAGCATCCAGATAAAAATGCTTCTTATTTACAGATACTGTCAGTTAATCTCAAGATGTTTGTTAAACTTTCAGGCATACTGCTTCTGATTAGCTTGCTTAGAAATATGTAACTTCATCCCAACACTTAATCAGGCAACAAAAGCTAGAGGTGGGCAGAAATTTCCAGTTCTCCTGAGGTTAATCACAAAATGCTAGTACACTGTTGATTAACATCTGGATTACCTTAAGGGTGTTTGTGAACCAACAGGAAATAAATTTCTGGAGAAGGCCACAGGCTCAGGGATAGTTGCTTTAGTATTTAATAATGAATGTTTTTCAGTTGATAGAAAAATATTGAAATCTGACTTATGTATAGGAAACTGATTCAAATTTGATAAACATCTCTCCAAAGGAAATTACTGGGTTTATTAAAAGCCTGCGAGGGTTGAACAGAATTGGAATAGTCTTATGCTATAGTTCTTCCTGAAGGTAAACTGCTCCCCAGTCCATCTAGCAGCCAACCAAAGAGGAAATAAGGAAAGAGCAGAGATGCTTTTCATCTAAGTTAACAGTGACTATGAACTTCGGAGGTACCCCAGGCAAGCCCCCATGTACAACATAAGTGTTGCTGCCTTGCTGACAAAATGTGATGTGTTGATGACTGTTATATTACATCTAAAATCCCATTTACTAGTAATAGAAAGGTTCAGTTAAGACTTTTGCCTTAAGTCTCCTGGTGCTTGATAGAGCATTGTGTGATATTACCAATTTTCGCTTCAGGCGTATTCATGTACAACAACCAAGAACTTCACAAGAATTTGCACATTTGATCCAGGGTGAAATTATGCCATTTTCATAGCAAATCAACTTTGCTCTGGCAGCAAAATGATAGGTATATTTGCACCTAGAAAAATTCTCTTGTTTTCAAGGAATTTTGAAGAAAGAAGTTGTCTCCATGGAGATTGTGGTTAAGTCATTTCTAAGGAGAAGCCCACAGATCAGAGTCCTGCTGGCCCACTTTCTGACTGAGAAGTTTGTTAGTCCTTCACGTTTTGAGTTTCTTGTTAAAAAAAAAAAAAAGGGTGGGGGAATCATATGCGATCTTTTTTTCCAACATGTCACAAAGCTGTTTTGGAATACCTTCACATCTCTAACATCGCAAAAGTACATAGAGAACATGTCTGCAAAGGGGAAAATTGCTGTTGATGCAACATGTTGTGAAATTTCACTTCTATGTGCTTTGCTTTTAGTGGTGTCAGAGGCAGCAGCAATGTATTCATGCAGCTGTACTGATCTGCAGGCTGGGAGTGAACAGTAGGCCTTTGCAGCAATTACTGAGAGACTCCTTCAGTTGAAATCATCTACTGTCTTCCTGCACAGCATTAAAGTGGCCGGTGGAGGGGTGAGTGCGGCTGGGCTGTTCTGTACATACCTAGCCAGGCTGCAATTTATATTCAGACAGAGCTGTGAGCAGTTTTCAGAGGAAGAGTGGGAGGAAGAGCATTTCTCTGAAAAATTTCCACCAGGAACAGAAGCCAAATTTTGATTTGTCACAGCTTTTAGAAACAAAAAGGATTCTTTCTTCATTTCAGGAAGAGATTAACAGGTAAGTTTTTCTCTTCCTGTAAGATTGCTACCTAACATTACTAAGGATCACCCTCAACTTATTAGTATTTTTATAAATAATCCTTACATTATTTTTCTTACAACTAGTACATATCTCCTTTCCCTAAGTTTCCATATTGAAGACGTAGTCTTGCTTACTGACCAATGTGTCAAGAATTTTACTTCACTATCATGGACAACATCTTATCATACCACCTACATGGTCCTGCACTGCTACTATTGGCCAAAATGAAGAGAAATCGGAAGAGTAAGGATTGGTTCGTATGCCATTTGGCAGCCACCAGCCACTTCATTTTCACTTAGCAAATGCAGGATATGAACACAGAGGTTCTGAAATTATGGTGACTGAATCAAACAAATGTCAGTTTGTATCAAATTTGGTGTGAGGTGGTAAAACAGTCCATTTTATTATCAAGTGTTATGTATGTATGAGCTACTTGACCCCACTAAATCATTTTTCAATAATAACTCGTAGGTTCATGTTTTCTTTTCCTATAATAAAATACAGATAAAATACTTACCTTACTGGCATTACTTTGCCTAGTTTTGTTAACATCCAGGAATGGATTTGAGGCATAAAATGCCAACTATATAAAACGTATAAGGTAATAGCCTTAAAAGAGACTGCATGAAATTAAAACAGATAATTATATTGTAACAAGCATGTGTCTTGCTTGTTACAAACAGCTGTAATAGTGAAACACAGCAGAAAATACAATGGGTCTTATAGGAATTAATTGCACAGATGTACCAGAGATAGCTGCTTTGATGATGGAGACACTGCAATGTCTGTGGCCTGAGGGCCCTCCTGCCTTCGGACTCTTGCATAATTTGCTCTGACTTCCATCAGTTGCTTTAACTCTGTTTAAAAAAA